TAAACTAATAACAAAACAGTAGCTGATTCAGAAGCGCCAGATTGTCATAGCAAAGTCAGAATTACCTCCTCTCCTAGGTTCACGAAACGGTCGTCCATAAAATGCATTGCTGTTCTATTGTAAGTAATCTTAAAGATTCCTAAATGCATCTACTTTTGGAAGGCCAAATAAAGTGCTTTTGCTTTCGCCTAGAAACACACAGCGTCTCCCTGACATGGCTGCATCAACACTAACTGCGGTTACTGAAACCACGCCTTCTTTCTTTGCGTGCACATTTGGGCGCATTATGCAAATATTCCCACATAGTGAGGTAGATATGTGGGGGCGTGTTAGAACGAGCCGTTTTAGGGGGGCGTGGCAGAGTCTTAACTTGGATAAAGAATATCTCTTTGGATTTGAGACTTTAGTCTTTGCAACTTTAGAGATCTTATCTATTCACAATCAGCTTGTAACACTCCAAAGAGAAAGGAAAACGTGAAATCGCATCATATGACCCCTTTAATTTATGAAAAATTCTGTCAACATTTCTGAGCAATGATAAAACATTGAATCAGATTTCTGAATTGAGTACCAACTCAATTTTTATTTCTAAACATTTTTATGTTTAAGACAGATGCATCTGTTATAGTGCACGACAAAGTTGGGCAGAACTATAATATGTAACTGAAATTTAGCAAATAAAAAGTGTGTTACAATAATTTTGATTTTCAGGATGTTGCTTATTTTACGTCGACAGCATGGATGAATTATAGGACAATCCTAAAATTGTCACTGAGCTACAGCAGTATTATGTACAAACATTTATTTATAATAATAATAATTAGTTCTTTTTTTTCCAAATAATATAGATCAAACGCCTAAATGTAGGGCATGCCAAGCAACACATCGCATTAAAACAGAAATCAACTGATGTGCAGTCTCAGGTGTGCGTTTATCATCAATTTTAGCCACAGGCTAATATAACTTTGTTCCATTTTTCAATGAAGCACAAGCGAGAACACATAGATTGAGAAAACGTAAAGACCCCACCAGGCTGAATACATAAAATGGAGGTATTTAATTCAGTTTGCTAATCTTGAGACAAAACACAAGCCTCAGGCCTTATTACGTGGCATTATTTATTCATATGCTCATGTACCTGCCATTAGGTGTGACAAAATATACTTATGATCCTCAACAATAACCAGAGGTCTCTTGTAAGTCATACATAAAATTATGATACAAATCTACTGGCCCTCAACAGAGTCATAATTCATCCGTGTACATGATGTCACCGTGTCACAACAGCAACAACAAAAACAAAAACCTACAAATTAGCCAGAACATCTGGGAGGGCTGTTTCTTTTTTTTTTTTTGCATTTCCTCTGAAGCTCCCCTTGTGCTTCCATCATGTACAATAGGAGACGAAAGTGTTTGCTGAATTGGTGGTTTTGTTGCTGACAGCTGATAAATGCGGTGAGGTTTTAAAGATGACACCCTGAGACTAGCGCTTCATATGAAGCTCTCACATCCTTTGCCCCCCCCAAAACCTCTTCTGACAGCTCAGCCGCTGCTGCTGGTAATTGTCTCGCTGCCGCAGAACGTGGAGAAAAGAGAAAAAAAGGGGGGAAAAAAACGTACGCATTATTGGACGTGTGCATTTATCAGTGAACTGAGTTGGAAAGCCGTCTCATTTCACAGTCTGGTCAGGCACAGCGAAAGAGAACAAAACTGATATTTCATCTCAGAGAACTGCATTTCAAATATGTAAGTGTTCGAAATTAACCTGCTCATTTTGAGCCCAAGCATTAACATACTTTGATTTGAGGGGGGATCTTATTTCAACTTTCCCCTTGTCTGGTCGAAAGCATTTAGCCCATGGTGTGATTAATAGAATCCGGCACCGTTCGGAAACACCACCGAGATGTTAAAAATACACAACTGGGAGATAAAGAGGAAACGCGTTTAGCCTGAATGATTCAGAGCACCGTCTTTGCATGAGTTCACTTTCTGAGCAAGAGCGAGAGAGTGCTGGGATGGCTGTGTGCTTCGAGCTTTCTGTAGGCAAACACAGTGATGGAGGCAGAGAAAGCCTGAGAGAAGGATAACGTCTGTGCTAATGTACGATTCCTGCCAGCAGGAGAGAGACCTCGACTAAAAAACACCTCCAAACATAAATGGGTCTTCTTTAACTATGGGCATGTTTGGCCCTGTGGACTATTAGAAAATCAACAGCTTTAAAACACACTCTCACTAGTTTGCTTTAATTGTCTACTAATAATATCCATACAGTGGACAGACATTTAAAAAAAATAAAAAATCTGTCATTTTGTTCTGAAACATTTTCAACCCAGTGTCATTTCCATTTCTGATTAATCTCATACTGGGATTTGAAATGAATATTTGGTACCACTTTAGACTAGGGGGCACTATTCACTATTAATTAGTTTCTTATTAGCATGCATATTAATAACATATTAGCTGTTGGTTAGTACTTATAAAGTACAAGTATTCTGCAAGACCATATAGATCCCTTAACTCTGCCCCATACCTAAACATAACTACTACAACAACTACCTTACTTACTAACAATAAGCAGCAAATTATGAGTTTATCGAGGGAAAACTCTGATCTTGAATATGTGTTCCCTAATCTAAAGTGTTACCAAACATTTTTTAGATTGAAAGTCTGGGTCATAAAATCTAAACGTAAAAGGCATTTGAAAAGTATCAAAAGTAAATTATGAAAGCAGAGGAAAAGTTACCAATTAAGTTGTATATGCCCTTTCTATAACAAACCAGCGGCTCTATTTGTAGTTTAAATGTAAGTTTTACTAAAAAACAACCCCAGGGATATAAATGTGTCCATAATTGAAGAATCATCCAATAACTAAATAAAGTACTTAGGTGAGTGCACTTACTATTGCTTTTTGCCATTGTTTCTCCCTCTGCTCGGCCCTCTCACATTCCCGTTTCTCATAGTCGCGTCGGTACTCTTCCCGCTTCAGATGCACATGCTGGTATTCCTCATAGCTGTCATACCTGCAGTTAAAAAAAAAAGAATAAAAATCATATCAACTTCTGTCTAAACACAGAACTTTAAGAAATAAAATATAGATTATCTTTAGTATCTGAATTGTTTATCCAAGATACTTGTTTAAGTCTCCTGCTTCTCAAATACTTTTCTGAGAAAAAGTCCCCAGTAATAGTGTCTCCAAAAGAGTGGAAGACAAACAAACACATTAATAAGATGTCTCATTACATCGCAAAAGGTTACAGTTCCCAATGGCGGGACTCTTAAGGGAATATGGCAGAAATTTGGCAGCTGTGTCTGTCAGCACAACTTCACATGCCATTACTTTTTGCTTAGTTTGAACTTTACGTCCAAAAAGTGCAACTTTTTCTACAGCCATTTGCAACAGAGGCAACATGGTGTAAAAGCACAACATGAGCGGACTAAAGCACCATCAGGGAAAAGGTGTAGCTGGGAGGTAGTGCGTCCCTAATGCAAGCTGCTCTTGCCAACGAAAGCTTTATTGTAAAAATTTGAAAAGTTAAGGCCTTGAAATGATGTATCATCATAACTCATCATATCAATTAGACAGAGTCAGCAAGTGACTTGCTTCCTTTGCATAAGGACAGACTCTGAAAGTATTGCAGACACAGTACATTATCTTGCAGCACTTATTTAAGTCTGTCTCATGAACAGGTCTATAATATCAGCATATATGAATTTTTCTAGCGCAAGTGTCACATAATACATGCACGGTATATTAAAGAGTAACAAATGGAAAAGTCTTTGCCATGCGCAAACACTTACCTGGGTCTCCGACCAAAAATAGAATGAGTCTGGGACTGAGGGCTTCTATAAATCCTGGGAATAAAAGTGCTATTGCCCAAATTGTGAGGAGACCTACGTACAAGCAGAAAGGCAACAAAATTCTTAGAAAAATGCAAAACCAAGCCTAAACACTGAACATTGTCTTTACTTCTAAAGCATCACAGGCAATTGAAATGCATGTATAATTTTAAACAACAGGCATAAGCTCAAAAAATGGAAATGAAGGATAAAACATGGAATAAAAAGGGGGGAAACGATGCTGATGTGACTAAAATCAGACGTATAGTTAGATGTTTGTACAATGACAATGTCACTTGATATCAAAAGGGGGTATAAAATTGGAGAAATATTCTGTATTTCGGTTTTAGAGTCTCCTTCATCAGTACAATTGCTATGTATCTCAAAAGGAGGCACTGTAAATATTGTCTTTCTGACATGCTATCTGGATGACCCGTTTTAAATTGTCCAGGACTTCACTCACTGGGCGTTTCTTTCATCTCGCGGGGATGGAGCGGGCAACGCTGTTGAGCAAAACAACAGCTGCTACTAAAAACAACAGAGCCCCATCAAAGAGTGCTGGAGAGAAATTAATCTAAAATTCAAGCTAAAGGGATGAAGGTCCATTGAGGAAACAATGTGAGACTTCCATAAGCCTCTCAAGTTTCTCAAGTGACACGCTTATTTGCACAATAAATGACTCTGCAGGACTCTATTTGTCATCTGCACTGTTTGCGAATGATGAGAGATGAAAAACTTCTAAATGAAACTTCAAAATGCCTCTGAAGGTGTTTCTGCAAGTTATAAAAAGTATTGCTATAATGGTGAGTGAATGTCTGAACTCAGGTTTGAAATGGTTCATTTGGTGTAACAGCAAGTGTGCAGATAAGCAATTTTCCACCTAAGACACTGTTTATCTTCCAAGCTCATTTTATCTTGTGTCTCTCAAAGCCAGCGTTTACTGTCTATTATATGTAATTTTTCTCTAGTTGTGCAAAATCTGCCGTAACGACTTCAGTGGCCATGCTGCGAGACCCAGACTCACGCTTCATCGCAAGGACTGCCACAGAAAGATGTTTACCTTCTTTACAGCCCCTCCTGCTGAGACACGTGGATTTGTGTCCAAAAAGATCGCTAGGTAAACATGTTTCTGAGACAGACAGAATGCTCACACCAGAACTTACCAAGAGGGAGAATGGCTGTCGGGAGACTCGGAGCAGGAGTATGGAGATCTGGAGAGGGATCTGCGTCTGTGGTGAGATGAGGAACGGGAGCAGGAGATAGAGCGTGGCCAGCGGAGGTGCTGTGGCGAGAGCTGAGTGGAAGGAGGCGAGACAGAGCTCCATGAGAATGAACTGCTGGAAGGGGAGCTGGAGGGCGACCCTTCGAGGAGCAGCTCGAGTGGAGAACCTTCCCCCAAGTAGAGCAGGCGCTCCCGGCCTACCTCCAGGTCCTCGAAGTCAGGCAGACCCGGGTGTATGTAATCATTGAGAAGACTGAGGTACCCAACCCCAGAGTCACTGTCCTCTAGAGGCCGGATGCCCCTCTGCTCTCCCACTATCCTGCTATAGAAGGCTTGTTGAGGCTTTCCAAAGTGCTTGTTGAGCTCTTCCCGAATCTCCTGGTCCCTAAGTAGTTTCCTGCCAGCAGAGTTGCCATCCACTGACGTTCTGGAGCCCGAAGTGGAGTCGTGGTCCTGTCCGTGAGCATCCATGTCCGGACAAGCCTCCTGAGCTTTGGGGGAAAGGCCCTGAAGCTGCCTGGCCAGAAAGGAAGACGAAGGGGAGTTGGAAGACAACGATGATGCAGAAGTAGAGGAGGCCGGCATGTTCGAGTATTTACATTCCACATGCCGGCCCTCCATTGGCCCAGTTACTGCTGCAGCTGTAGTGGTGCTGTCTCGTTTTGTGCTTGTAGACTGGCAATAGTCGTGATCACCAAAGACGCGGGGCATGGGCCGCTTGCCCCGACGCTCCTCCAAGCCCCCTAGGTGCATTATGGAGGATTCCTTGCTCAACTGGGCATAGAGCTCAGTCTGCTCTGGGCCCTTCCGAATATAGCCACTGTTTGGCTGAGGGCAAGAACCCCCATTGCTCAGCCTGGGCCTTTTGCTTGTCAGGGCCGAGGGAGAGCATGAAGACAGCTTGTTTTTGAGTGATACTTTGAAAGGGTTCTCTTGACTGGCTTTGTGAGGAGGCGTGGTAGGTGGTGTCAGACCTGGAGGGAAGAAGAGACAAAAGATTTACCAAACGAGATCCTTCTCGTTCCTTAACAGTGCTTGGTCTGTCTCTAAGTGATTGAACAAGCAAGCACTTGAGCCTGATTAAAATATTCCCTTTCATTTAGACCTAATCCTTATCCGCATTTTATTGCAACCCTGACAGATTAATGTGACCTCAGATTGCACCGTGATACTGACAGAGCTACTCAATTAAACTTCCTCCAGACCGTGAACAATCCTAATTCATTAGAAAGTAAACAGTCAGATCTTATAATGACACTGGTGCTTTCGACAAATGCATCAATGCCATACTCCTGGGACTACGATGAATGCACAGAGATGCGGGAGCTGTTATCATTCTCTTCATCTTTGCCACCTTTTCTTCTCATGAACCCCCAGCTGTCTTAACAGATTTATGTGCCAACAGATGGCATTTATATGGGAAGTCTTGAGATGTTCTGCTTTATGGCATGGCTAATGCACTTGCACAAACAACCGGAGGTAGTTCCTCTTTATTTTCCTCTACTTCTCCCTCTCTCTTTCTATTTCATCATCTCTCTGATTTTTTCTGATTTCCTGATCCAAACACACATTACGACAGTAACCTGTCTATACATTTATTTTCAAACTACAGTCATTTTCGGAATATTTTTCAGGACCACATCCTTTTACGACCACATCCTGAAACTGATATTTCAAACAAAATACCCACTAGTTAAAGGAATGTTCCTTTTACTGAATATCTCTTATTCTTTCTTCATCTGTCTACGTAAATCACTAAACGTAAAGCACAAGCCTGATTCGGCATACAAAACAACAGTGGTCATGGCTAAATTTATCATTATGCCAATGCAATGAGCTGTGAAAAGAAAGCATGCACTGCCAAAGGAACTTCTGCTGCACCAATCAAACACCATCTGGGCATACAATGTATGCACGGTCATAAACCAAGGACCATTATCGCCTTTACATTACATTACATTACATAAATTACATTACATAGCATTACATAAATATTCACTGTTCAGTTAAAGGCAGCCATGATGAATGTGCACATATACAAACACTAATCATATACTGGTGGGTTCTCTCGTCTGTTTCTGGAAGTGTGTGAATTACGCAGGGACCTCTGAACGAATTATTACTTCAAGCTTACAGAAATGATCCCCGTGGTAATCTTAAAATGCCATGCAAGGAGCGTAATACAGACTTACCTGGGTGTCATATGATACCATAATTAAAGGAACCCCCGCTCAAGTTAATCTATTAGAGAGATGGGGATTAGGGAACGGTATTAAATCTGGCACTTTCATAGCGCTGGCTATTCCGCAGGTGTCAAGGTGTTTTGCTCTGCAGTGAAATGCCTGGGCATTTTCTAATTCAACAGCACCTTAAAAATGGCTTCTCGCACTGCTGTCATGATGGCACAAACCCCAGTGGAAATTTATTTTATGGCTTCAGAGTCGCATCTGGCTTTACAGTGACTTGTAATCAGTTAATCTGGTGTGATCGTCAGTAAAGACATACGAGTATGAAGGGCTTAAGGTAGTCTATAGGACAGCAGACACATTATAGGAGAATGTAATCTAATGCTCATCAGAGAGTTTCAAATTAGCACTTTCCCTCAGCACTCAATTGCAAATCTGAAAAGAGGGTCTCTGCAACAAAAAATTGTGTAGCTTTCTTGGGTTTTGCATTAAACAGTGCTGGATTTTGCCTCAGGTTAGTAGGCACAAGCTCATGCATTAAATACAGAGATAAATGAACCCTTTAGCCTTGCATAAGAGGCTGTAAAGGTGACATCACATGACTCTGAAATCTTGACGCTAACACACATCTTTAATAAAGGGAATCAAGAACTCGAATAGCCAGTAAAAGTAATAAAATTCCTCAAAATGTGTAGCTTCACTAAACAGCTATGACATAATCCACATTTGAGCAAAAACACCAAACACAGAGTTACATTGTACCCTCAGGCTAAGTCAAATCTGTACACTGAGGGCCATTACCTTGCAGTAAGTGAATACCAAATGGCCCATTCACCAAGACACATTGTGAGAGGGAAAGGCAGCCATTTTGTTTTTATTGACCTGGAATGATTAATCTCTGCATGGGGGATACAGAAATAATTACCTGCATGATTTATGTTGAGAGAAAGAAAGTGAGAAAGGGGAGAACTGCTGAAGAGTTGTGTTTCAGCCCCAACTGCCATACACTTCATGTGAGTTTAATTACTTTGGGTCAACACCAATGTGTTATATATATATATATATATATATATATATATATTCTGTATATATATATACTGTATTCTATATATAGTACCAGTCAAAAGTTTGGACGCTTTTGACTGGTACTGTACTATAATAT